AAGTAACCATCACAGGTGGTCTCTTGGGAAATGGTTATAAGTGCAAATACCAAGTTTCACCCTAGACCTGCTGAATTAGAAGCTCCAGGGACAGGACCTAGAAATCCAAGCCCTCTAAGTACCTGTGAACTTTATGTAGGCTTGAAAACAACAGAGGTGGGCTGGGGATTTAGCTCAGCGGATAAGCACCTGCCTTGCAAGCAGGTGGCCGTGAGTTTGATCCCTGGTACCAGGGAAAAAAAAAGAAAGAAAACAACAGGGGTAAAGCAGCTTTTACTCCTTCAGCAATAAATCTGTTACATTTGTATCTTTTCAATTTCAAGTGTTGAGCTGGGCATGGTGATTCATGCCTATAATCTCACACTAGGGAGGCTGAAGCAGGAGGATCACTGGGTGTTCAGTGCCAGCGTGAGCTACACAGTGAGTTCAAGGCCAGTCTGAATTACATAGTCAGACCTGTCTCACAACAATAGCAAAAACTAAATCTAATACCACAAATCAATTTGAAGCCTTCCTTTTAATTTATTTTAGTCCGTATTGAGACAGGGTCTCACTATGAAGTTCAGGCTGGCTTTGAGCTCACTTTGTAGCCCAAGCTGGTCTTGAACTTGCAACAATTCTCCTGCCTCAGCCTCCTGGGTGCTGAGATTATAGGTGTGCACTACCACATTCAACTCTTTTATTTTTATTTGTTTTTTTTGGTACTGGGGAGTAATTTTTTTGTTTGGTGGTACTAGGATTGAATTCAGGGTCTTCCTACTGAACTATCACAGCAGCCTATTTATTTTGTGTTACTGGACATTAAACCCAGGGCCTTCATACTACCTATCCAGTCTAATTTTTTATTTTGGGACGTGGTCTCACTAAGTTGCTAAATCATTAGGCTGGTCTCACTATGTAGTCTTCACTGGCCTCAAACTCACTACATACCATCACTGGCCGCAAATATGGGTCACAGTGATCCCCTGGGCTCAGGTTCCCTGGTACTGGGGATTACAGGTGGATACCATCATGCCCAGTCTTTGTCGGTAGCTGTTTTGCTTGTTACTAATACATATAGAGATACAAGTCACATATGGTAGCAAATGACCATAATCCCAGCACCTATCTCAAAAAACCAAAAACAAAAATAAAAATTACATAGATACAGTTAGTGTATTAATATTAATTTTGCTATCTAAGGGACATGAGGATTATGTAGATACATTTTCAGTTGTCACCAACTCTTAGGGGTGTTACTCACATGTAATGAATAGAAACCAAGGATTCTGTTAAACAGCCTACAACTAACTGGGTATATGGTAAATAGCTGTGATCCTTGCTACAGGGAGACTGAGGCAGGACAACTGCCAGTTCAGGACCAGCCTGGGCAATTTAAAAAGACCTTATCTCAAAAAAGGGAGAGGGTTTACGGATATAGCTCAGAGTCGAGTGTGTGGTATTAAGTTCAGTCTCTAGTACTGCTAAAAACAAAAGTGAATCAAAAACCCATTTTACATAGTAGAATTATCTGGTCCCAACTATCAACTGTAGAGATTGGGATTTTTTTTTTTTTGTAGAGAATAAAAGCAAAACAGAAAAAAGAGTAGAATTTAGAATTTTTTAAAAAAAGTAAGAAATCACTAGTTAATAAATTACATATTGTTATCTTAGAAGTAGTTGTTCATGGGGATGGGTGTTTAGCTCAGCGGCATCAGTGCCTGCTTTGCAATTTCCAGGTTGTGAGTTCAAACCACAATACCAAGTGACAACAACAACAATAACAACTCATTTTTCAAGTTACAAAATCAAAAGTTCCAATGTGGACAATCAAAAAATGACAGTACAAACTATTCTGTTTGATTAATTAACAAAAACTTTATAGTATGGTTATCTGTCTTGTACACATATATACAGTTATATCCTTGAAAGCACGTTCATTCCCTTTCATTATCACAATATCTGTTATACATTTTGAAAAACTTTTTTTTTTTTTGTCTTTTTCGTTTTTATCGGTACCAGGGATCGAACTCACGACTGCCTGCTTGCAAGACAGGCGCTTATGCCACTGAGCTAAATCCCCAGCCCCTCTGTTATACATTTTGGATCTTATTATCTTTCAGTTTTTTATTAGGGAAATTTGCATTTTATTCTTTCATTATATACTGCATGTACTGAAATTCACATACTTTATTTTTGTACCAGAAAGTAAATTCATGACCTTGTGCCTGCCAGGTGAGTGCTGTGCTGCTGGGCTATATTCCTGGTCCTGTGTTTTTAAATTATTTGAAAAATTTCCAAGATGGGACTGCCTGGGTCAAAGTACATACATACTGACATGATTCTTGTTAATAGATTTCCCTCTTGTTTTCCAAGATGATTATCTCTTGAAATGATTCTCTGAAGCAAAGGAACATTAGTCTTATTAACATGCAAGAAAATGTATCCACTTAGCACTACATAGGCTGCTTTTTTTGAGATAGGATCTCACCATATAGTTGAGAAAGGTTGTGAAGTCACTGTACAGCTCAGGCTGGCCTCACACAGAACTGTGTATCTCGGGATGGCCTCAAATGGCAGCCATCCTCCTGTTTCAGCCTCCCGAGAGCTGGGATTACAGATATGGGTCACTCTGGCTGGTCTTGCTATATAGTTTAGGTTGGCTTTGAACTCACTGTATAGCACAAGTTGGCCTCAAACTTGTGGTCATCCTCCTGCTTTAGTTATTATTTTTTTTTGTCTTTTTGAGACAGTTTCACTATGCAATTCAGACTGGTCTTAAACTCATAGCCATTCTCCTGCCTCAGGTTCCTGTGTACTGGAATTACAGGTGTGCATCACCATATCTGACTTTTTATTTTTTGAGGCAAGGTCTCATTGTACACTCTACCTGGACCTCAATTTGAAGATTTTCTTGCCTCAGGTTCCCCAGTAGTGGGATTACAGAGATTTACTACCACCTCTGGTTTAGAACTACTACAGATGGTTTGACTTAATCTGAGATTGATTATAACCTTGAATTTGGGGTTAAAACTGATTTTTGATATGACTCCTCCAGTTGGGTGTGGTGATACACCCCTGTAAACCCAGTTCTTGGGAGGCTGAGGCAGGAGGATCATTGTGAATTCGAGACCAGCCTGGGCTACAAAGTGAGCTCCAGACCAGCCTGAACTGCGTTGTGAGCCCTTGTCTCAAAAAGACAAAAACACAAAACAGTCTTTCTGATTCCCAGCATAAAAACAAAAAATAAACAAGGTCTTCTATAAAGTTCAAGGCACAACCTAAGCTTGAATATGACATCCTCCTGCCACAGCCTTCCAGAGCAATAGGATGACAGGCATGTGCTACCATTACTCCTGAGTTTATTTTTCTAATAATAGTCCTTTTGGATTATATAAAAAAGAAAGATCCATAAAATACTTCGTCAATCCCGTCTCTTTTTTTTTTTAGACAGAGTCTTACTATGCAGTTTAGGCTGGCCTGGAGTTCACTTTGTAGTCCAGGCTAGTCTCAAACTCACAACGATCCTCTTGTCTTAGCCTCCTGAGTGCTTGGGATTATAGATGTGTGCCACCATGCCCAGCCAAAGCTCCATTCTTTGAAGTGCATTGAAAAATCAGAGGTCTATATATTGACTAAGTCAGTATATAGAAGCCTACTGCTTTTAGCTGTCATTTCTCTTGTTTTGTTTTTTACCCTGGTACGACCCATTGAACCCAGAGCCTCTGTAGTGAACCACATACCAGTTCCTCTCGGTTCCTTTTTGAAGTAGGTTCTTGTAAAATTTTCCAGACCAGACTTGAACTTGCAATCGTTCTTCCATGTAGAATGAATTCACTCTCTCCCTTCCTTTCCTGTTTTTCTTAGGTTATTGGGGGTTGAATCTAGAGCCTCATACATAATAGGTAATAAAGGTGCCACTAAACTACACCCCCAGCCCTCAGGGACTTACAATTTAAATAACGAATTAAGTTCGTTCAAAAAAAGGTCCTTATTGAATGTCAAGGCTGGTACTCTTCTTGCTGTGCATGCTATTCAAAACAAAAGCAATTTTACACCTTCCAGCTGTTTAAGCATTTCTGAGTTTTCCAGACAAGGCCAGGGATCCCCTCATGTGAGCGCTTTGCTCTTCTTTCCCTCAAATAGACAACTAAACCAGTGAATAGTCAGGCCAGCCAGGCTGTCTGGATTTCAGTTTTCTTAGCTGCATCAACTTTGTGTGTATGCTCATGTTTTGGGTGGGAGTGGCGGCCACAGCACTGGAACACAGGCATGTTCACTACACCTTCTCCTCTGAGAAACAACTACTAACAAATAAAGGAAGTCAGCGGGAATGAAGAAGCTAGCACAGCCAGGTTCACAAGGCACAGGCCCACAGGTCCCTGGCTTGGGAAATTCCAGCATCACAGCAGCATCGCAGGATTGCATTTGTTGTACCAGCAAGGATTTGCAGCAGCAGCAGCAGCATAGGCAGCAGCAGCAGCAGCAGCAGCAGCATAAGCAGCAGCAGCAGCAGCAGCATAAGCAGCAGCAGCAGCAGCAGCAGCAGCAGCAGCAGCAGCAGCATAAGCAGCAGCAGCATAAACAGCAGCAGCAGCAGCATAAGCAGCAGCAGCAGCAGCAGCAGCATAAGCAGCATAAGCAGCAGCAGCAGCAGCAGCAGCATAAGCAGCAGCAGCAGCAGCATAAGCAGCAGCAGCAGCATAGGCAGCAGCAGCAGCAGCAGCATAAGCAGCAGCAGCAGCATAGGCAGCAGCAGCAGCATAAGCAGCAGCAGCAGCATAGGCAGCAGCAGCAGCATAGGCAGCAGCAGCAGCAGCAGCATAAGCAGCAGCAGCATAAGCAGCAGCAGCAGCATAAGCAGCATAAGCAGCAGCAGCAGCAGCATAAGCAGCATAAGCAACAGCAGCAGCAGCAGCAGCATAAGCAGCAGCAGCGGCAGCAGCAGCAAGCAGCAGCAGCAGCAGCAGCAGCATAAGCAGCATAAGCAACAGCAGCAGCAGCAGCAGCAGCATAAGCAGCATAAGCAACAGCAGCAGCAGCAGCATAAGCAGCAGCACCTGCTGCTGCTTAAGTGGTAAGAGGCTGCGCAGGCGCACCACACATCCTCGGACCAAGGAGCGCCCCCCCCCCGCCCATCTCTGGGGGCCTTTTTCAGGCCCCCAGACATGGGTCTGTCTTCGGCGCCGCCTGATGCAGTGAGAAAGTCCTGTGAAGGTAGACCTCTCCTGGCTGTTTTCCTTGCCGTGCAATCTAGGCCACGAAGAAGGGACACACGTGAAAGCTTCAGGAGGGTGGATCGTGGCTGGGTGAAAGGCCACTGCGGAGTTGGGTGAATCGGGCCTTTTCAGGCAGTACAGGAGGCGCCAGGTCGAAGGGCTTCTCCCGTTGGCCTTAAGAGCTCGAGGCTTGAGCCGAGACCCTTAGCAGCTGGGTGAGGCACTGCTCGCGACATTGAGCAGCTCGGTGGGGGCGAGGTGGTGACTGTAAGGGCGCCTACAACAGGCTGTTGGCCCTCGCTGGCCGAGTACTGCGTCTGTTTTGTCGCTTCAGGCTTGTCTCATCCCTTCGACTCAAAGGCCAGCGTTCGGAGGTCTCTGCATTAAGTAGCAGCTAGGTTCAGGTGGCAGCAGTGGCTGGGTTTTGGTTCTTTGTACGCCCTCATCCTGGAGGTCTCCCTCCCTCCCTTGTCTTTCTGACCTTTCTAGTCCCGGTTTTTTCTCCTTGGGCAGCAGAGTGGGCTCAGATCAAGCAGGCAAATTGTTTACTTATTTATTTTCATTCAGCCAAACTAAGCTCCTCACCGCAGCACCTTCAGCTTGACTTCTACCTGTCGTGTTGTATTGGATTAAGGTTTATTAAGTAATTTGTTCTTTTGGGGGGTTCTTTCCTGGTGTGTTTTTGTTTTTGTTTTTGTATTGTCTTTTTGAGACAGTCTCGCCCTGCGTTTCAGGCTGCCCTTGAGCTCTCACTTTGTAGCCCAGGCTGGTCTCCAGCTTGAAAGGATCCTCTGCCTCATCCTCCCAAGTGCTGGGATTACAGGAGTGTGCCACCACTCCTGGCTCACTTTCCTGATTGTATTACCATGTGTTCCTTTTGAGTTCTAAAGCGTGTATATCTATCAAATGTCCATAGGCTCCGTGGTGAAGAAGTTCGTAGGCTTTAGACTGGAGACATGTCCACTGCCTGGAATGCTTTTCTTTTCCTTGCTTATGTCCTGCTCTTTTTTCAAATGAACGCTCCAGCAGACTTGTTCAGCAAAGCCATCCCTGGACTGCTGTACTAGGTTTAATATGTGCAACTATAAGCTTTCAGAGTTCTGCATCTCTTAGCGCTTGGTAATTTATAAATCCCACTGAAATTGTAAATTAGTCTGCGTGTGGGTTTTTTGGGAAACCTGTTAGGGATTGACAGCAGGCACTTTGCCCTGAGGTAAATCCCAGGCCTTCTTAAAATTTGTCTTTTTACTTTGATACAGAGTATTGCTAGATTTCCCCAGGCAGGCTTGCAGTCTTCATGTTTCAGCCTCCCAGCACCCTGGGATTGCAGGTGTGTGCCATCATGCTAGGCCCATGGATGTGCTTTTGAGAAAAATAATTAGTGACATACAGTGGCACTATATCAACCTATTTCATCCTGTGTTCTCTCTTCCACTCATGTCAAAACTTCTGTTTGTGGGGGAATTTTCAGGACTCTGTCCTACTCTAAGCCTCACTTTGATACTGAGCTGTGATTTACAAGAGGAATGAGATGCTCTACACTGGTATTCATACCTAGTAGTGATGTAGTGAGTTAGCATTAGGGAGACCAAGTGGAGAGCTGTTTGGCATGGTGTGTAGAGTCTGATTGAAGGGCATTATCTTGGTAGAGTTCCATAGTCTAGAGAGTAGAATTCTGCTCTGCAAGTTCAAACTGTGTCTTTGGACAGATGCTTCTCATTGACACATAATGGTATGTTAGTAACTGACAAATTCAGGGATGATTAAGCATAGAGTCAAAGGTAGTAATCTTTTTTGTTGTTCTTTTTTTTGATTTTGTAATGTTTGGGACAGGGTCACACCATGTAGTTGTGGCTGGCCGGGACTCAGTGTGTAGTCCAGGTTGGTCTTGAACTTGAGGTAGTCCTCCTGCCTCAGCCTCCTGGGTGCTAGGATTATAGGCAAATGCTTTCCTGCCCGGTTTTTTTTTTTTAATTTTATTTAAGGAGAAAAAGAAAGAAAACAGAAAAAGGGTACAAGTTATACAGAATTTCATAAAAAATAAACAGTAGGAAATCACTAGTTAATAGATTACACATTGTCATCTTAGAAATAGTTGTGAGGGTTACAAAATTAACGCATATGTGGGGGCTGGGGATTTAGCTTAACGGCATAAGCACCTGCCTTGCAAGTGTGTGGCCATGAGTTCGATCCCTGGAACCGATAAAAAAGAAAGGCAAAATTAAAGCATATAAAGTGGACATTCAAACAGAGAGACTGCAAAAACTCAGTAATATGGTTATCTATCTTATACACTTAAATATATATGCAGTTATATCCTTTAGAGCACTTTCTTTTTCTTTCTTTTGTACAATGACAATTACACATTTTGGGTTTTATTACTCCCACAGTTCTTATTACTTTTTTTGAAGAGAGTAAAACCAAATGTGACATAACAAAACAGAGTCAGTCAAATCAAAAGGATGGACATAATACATACTGTAAAAACAAAATACAAGGTGATCAACAATGGTTACCATAATGCCTCTTGCTATCTTAAAAAGAATTACCTATATCATATTATCATAAAATTGAACAAAACAGTAAAGCACAAAACCAATAAAACCAAAACATTGGAGACATTACAGGACTTGAAAAGAAGATAATAGTCAACCAGAATGGGCGTCATAATGAATCTCATTGTCTTCACAGTTGTTCCCTATACTTTTGAACTTGGTACTATCAAGCAAAACACAATACAGGGAAATCAGTCAAAACAGGATGGTGAGAGGGGCTGGGGATTTAGCTCAGCGGCATAAGCGCCTGCCTTGCAAGCAGGCAGTCGTGAGTTCGATCCCTGGTACCGATAAAAACAAAAAACACACACAAAAACAAAAACAGGATGGTGAGAGCAATACAGGGTTTCAAATCAAGTTAATAGGAAATCAAAGTGGGTTACTATAATACACTCTGCTATTTTTATTTAGTTTTTCCTTGATTAAAAAGACAAAAATAAAAAAGTAAATGATAAAAAAAGGAGATTGAGATAAAAGGGCACAACAACAAAACAGCGCAGGTCAAAACATAACCATTTAAGCAAAATAGTGTTTCACCACAAGATATCTTGACATAAAAGTAGTTAACATATTGTCTCTTTCCTTGAAATCTTTGAGTATAACTTCATATACTGTAGCATCAAACATATCAAGACAATGTAAGACCATTCAAGAGAATGACAGTATTACAGGGCATTTAGAATCAACTGACTGAAAATGAACAATGAGGGCCTGGGGATTTAGCTCAGCGGCATAAGCACCTGGCTTGCAAGCAGGAAGTCGTGAGTTCAATCCCTGGTACCGATAAAACCGAAAAAGTCCAAACAAAACAAAACAAAACAAAAAACAAAATGAACAATGTTTTCTGTATAATGTCCTTGTCTATAAAATTTTTGTTTATATTATCACATATACTAAAATCCAATAAGAGTCAACATGTTAAAACCAAAAAAAAAAAAAAAAAAAAAGACCAATGGAGACAAAAGAACAAAAGCTTGATGGGACTTCAAAACAAGATGATATTAAATCAGCACTAGCTATTTTGATGTCTTGCTTTCTCCAAAATAGCTGTTCCTACCATCCAACCTTCTCTGCCTCATTTCTGTTGAGCTCCTTTTCTGTCATTAGTTGTCAGTTTGTCTTCATTTCACTTTCTTTTCCATTCATTGTGGCCTCTCTGCCACTGTTTCTGGAATCTTGGTATTTTTCTTTTTTAGGATATCCTGTAGTATTCTCTGTAGAGTTAAATTGGTGGTTGCAAATTCCCCTAGGTCGTCTTTATCCTGGAAGTACCTTGTTTTTCCATCAATTTCTAGGGACAGTTGTGCAGGATATATCAATCTTGGCTGAAGGTTATTATCTTTCAAAGCTTGAATTATTTTGCCCCACACTCTTCGTGATTTGATGGTTTGTGCTGAGAAGTCTCTGTAATTCTGTTTTTTTTTATTTTATAGAATCTGAAAATGATTTTATAAGTTCATGCAAATTGCACAGAATAGTGGATTACATTTTGGTGTACTGCAACTTGCATATAATATACATTGATTTTTTTTTTTTGGAGGTGCTGGCTTGGCTTCCCAGATTCCTTTTTTTAAAAATTTTATTTAAGAGGAAAAAGACAAAAACACAAAACAAAACAAAGCGGTGTAAGGGTACACGTAATACAGAAGTACAAAAAAAAACATAACAGTAAGAAATCAACTGTTAATAGATTACATGTTATCATCTTGGAAATAGTTGCTCAAATCACAGTATCAAAGAATACAAAGTGGACATTCAAACAGAGAGACTGCAAATAGCTGTGTTCAATGATCCAAAAACATTAATATAGTCAGCTATTTAACACCCCTAAACACACTTGTTGTTATATCCGTTAGAGCTCTTTTTTTCCCCCTCTCTTTTTTACAACAAAATTTACACATTTTGGATTTTATTACTCCTTAGTTCTTATTACTTTTTTTGGCGGGGGGGAGAGAATAAAGTCAAATATGGCAAAACAAAGCTGTCAGTCAAAACCAAGGATAGACATAGCACATGATGTAGAACAGAGTACAAGGTTATCAACAATGGTTATCAACGTTGTCTCTTGTTTCCTTAATAATAATTGTCTATCTCATTAGATATTATAAAGTTGGACAAAACCGTAGAGAACAAGACCAATAAAACTGAGGCAGTGTAAAGGACTTCCAAAGGAGACAATAGTCAAACCAGAATGGGCATCTTAGTGAATCTTATTGCCTTCAAAGTAGTTGCCTATACCCTCAAACTTGATACTATCATACAAAATGGAACAGAGTCTAATCAGTCAAAACAAGATCGTGGGAGTATTACAGGACTTCAAAACAAGTTAATAGGAAATCAAAAAGAGTTACTATTATATATCCTAATTTTTAAAATTTTTCCCCTTAATTAAAACAAACATAAGAAATAACTAAATAATTTTTTTAAAGAATAAGGGAGAGATTGAGATAAACCAGGGCATAACAATATAACAATAGAGGTCAAAGCATGACTGTTTTAGCAACCTAGTGCTTCACCACCAAATAACTCGACTTAATAGTAGTTACCATAGTGCCTGTCTTTTTTCCTTGAAATATTTGGATAAAACTTATATACTATAGCTTCAAATATTTCCATATCAAGAAGCCCAGAATAAAGCCTTTCTAATTAATAAGTGAAAA